GAAAAGGGGGAGGTCGAAAGCGTTGACGAGTTTGAGTCTGAAATTTGTTTGTGAGCGACTGTGGCCTACGAAAACTATTGGCAGCTCTTAGCCATAATTCCCAGTGTATTTGGTCCCATGGGTAAAGTGCTGGGTTCGATTGTCTGATATAACGAAATTGTTCGTCATACCAAAACCAATCGCCTGATTTATAGGCCAAATCTCGTACAACTTCGCAATACTTCATTAAACTTGGAGTTTCGCTAGAGAAGCGCTCCGCATAGACTGAGACAAAAATATTAAATGCCGAAGCCCATTGATGTATCGAAGTAATCCTTTTGTTGGATTGTGAGGGCTCGAGCGTGAACTGTGGCGAGCGTTGCGGCCCAGCAGAAGGCGTCATAGATAACGAATATTTGCCTTCATTTTGAGGGGAGGAAAAAAGCAATGCCCCAAAGTCTACATATTCGTTTGCCCATATTTTGGCTTTAAGTTTAGCACTAACCCGGGCGGGAAGACCCACCGCAATACTAGTAAAAATCTGCTGGGGTTGTGGTTCACCCAAAGCCGCTTTAGCAGGAACGCCCCTGATACCTGAGAAACTATTGTTCCCGCTGATGGTGCGCACTTCGTCGTCCACGGAAGGGGAGACAGGATTGGAGCTGTCAGGAACACTGTTCTTTAAAATGGCAGCTATGTTATCCCCATGAAATGCAGCCTGAAGGGCTTCGGAAACGGCGGCAGAAATGGTGCTTGATAGAGCGCCGACATCCAAGGAGCTGTTCTTGACATTCCGGGAATGGCTAGCTGTGGAACTCAAAGCTGGAAGTGGAGGTGTTACTTCACTTATCTCGGATGGGCTGGTTTTCTTTGTTCGTTTGGCCCGTTTAGGACGGTCATTCACAACGGCAGAACGTTTTCTAGGAGGCATAACTTACAAAGGGAATGTACAAAAATGGGAGCATAAGACAATAAGAAGAAATCTCGAAATCTACCGTGTTATGGCAAAAATTAATAAAGCACATAGCTACAGACAGTGCTGACAACTCTATGGTCTATTGTTGTCTGGTGAAAAACCGATAGCCTGAGAGGGGCCACGCTTAAGACGCGAGTATAAGATACGGAAATCCGGCTGTGTTCAGACGAACAGCAAAGGTATCAGTTGTAAACCATTACAAGTATGGATGTTGTACATACGTGAATTAGAAAGATTCCTTGAGCACTTGACGTTCGAATGGCGAGGGATAGAAGGGCGAATCAAGGAATTTCTCCTGGTTTTAAGATAGCAAACTCCGCCCTTACTACCGATTAGTTACTGTTCGTACCTGGTACAAACCTCCCAACGGGTTATCATATAAACATGCCCCGACATAAAAAACATTATGTCTGTTTGCGTTTGTCCTTGAGCACCATAGAATACGCGACAAATACGCACAAAAAATAC